AATTTGAACTCCGGTACCCTCGAGAAATTCATAGTTTATAGATCTGAAACAAAACTGCAGTCCCGCGTTGGTACTGCATAAACCGGACAATTATTCTCGGTCAATTTAGCTGATTATTCCAGTTCCTGTCAATCATATGATTTCTGTGTTGGCGAGAAGAGGACAGGAAGGGAGTGAAAAACAGCTGTAAATGAGATAACCTTGATCCAAGTGGCAATCACAAGGCTGGTTGATGACGTAATTCTGGTTGATCGGTTCTCATGGTCGGTGATATCGGAGAGCTACAAAGAAAAACTTTAAGATTTGTCAACAACAGAAGCTTTTACGCAAACTTGCTAAAAAATCGAATGCTTTTACACAAAACTAGCAATACTTCTTGAGTGTCTTCACCGGCGGCAACTTCCATCCTCTCGGGCACATCCTCACTGGCCTCCTCCACCTCACCGCTCCCTGGCACTGGACTCAGTTCCTCTTTCGATGACGGAGTCTGAAATAACCGCTTTTACAAGGCGTTTTACTGTTTGATTGCCGAAAAACTGGTGACCGGAAAGCATACATTTTTCAGAGCAAGCATTCATATTCGTTAATACAACTGCAGTTAATAATACAACAAAATTTCAGAAAGCTTAAATTAGGAGATGAGCTACCCGACTGACTGGAGTTTTCTACTGGGGCGATCCCGCCTGGATGTTGCTGCTATTACTACGACTACTGCTACCAATACTATTACTACTGCCACTGCTACTGTTACTGCTACTGCTGCTGCTGTTATAATTTTGTGGCTGCTGCAATCGTAAAGACGACGCAATGATCAGAAATCAAATGCAGTATCGCGAGTGAGACAAAACCCGCGGTTTTAATCTGGAGCCCTACTGTCTCCCATTCAACGTAGCGAAAAAACAGCAAACCGTTTTGGTTAGAGTTGGCTTGTCCATCGAGCTAGCTTCTCCACTGCGAGTCTGAAAATTGTTAAAAAGTAAACATGGCATTCACAAAAATGAGCGGATTTGCTCGGACGATTCAGGACCGCTAAAGAAGTTGGGCAGAGTTCACAGTATTTGGATCATCGTGATAAGCCCCAAACTGTAGGATTTAGAAGCTCATGTTACAGATCACGCATGGTGCAGTAGAAAGTAGAACCGTTGTCGTGCGGTAG